GGTTATGTGACTGGAAGTGCTGTGCCTGAGCAAAAAGGTGCAGAGGCAGATGTTCTTTTTGGGGTAGACAGCACTAGTGAGGGCGATGTTGCCCCTGAAAGCACCAAAACCCTGAAAGACAAAGCTGTTCCTGAAACAGTGGCAGCTAAAAACACAGATAGCCTCACCCCTGAAGAAACGCAGACTGTGGGTGTGCCTGTGGGTGTGCCTGAGGTTGCAGCAGAAGAATCAAAAATCAAAAGTCAGCCTGAGGCAGGACCCGACAGGCTTGGGGTCAAAGGTCTCCCTGCAGGAGATACTGGGGAAACTGGTAAACTAACTCTTGATTTGGGTGTGTTTACTAGTGTTGTATTGCATGTGTGAATGTTGATTGAATCCTGTGTTTGTTCTAACTCGAAGTCTGTTGCAGAATTGTGGACTTCATGGTCACTCTGAGGCTACGTTCATACTGCAGGCACAGTGGCCAAAAGCTGATTTTTAAAAAAAAAATGTATTACAGTGTTAACAGCGCAAATCACTGATCTTTTCAATTCTGATTTTGGCTGCTTTCATATGTGGTCCGAATCAGATACAGGTCTGATTTTATGTGACTTTTACGTCACTGTAGACATTCATCATGCGGGAATCTGATCTGGGCTACATTTTCAAAATTAACATAAACAGCTAGACAAAAAAAAAACAATCTGAGAAATGAATTAGAACTGAGCTCTAAAGTTTTCAGTGTGAATGTAGTCTACACTGCAAGAAGAAGTGTTTTAATGGCTAGGGTTCAGTCTAACTGGCAATATTCACAGACTATCTACACCCATTAAGGTGAATTTTGTTTTAATTTTGCAGGTATAATGACGTGTGCAGATTGAGAAGTATTAACTCGAGAGTGAATCCTAGCCAATGCTCATGGTTATAATTGTTTTCGTTCGACATATTTTTATTAGTTGTTTGTTTCTGTGTCGCATGTTCTCTTCAGAGTTGTCTGAGAAAATGACCAATAACTTGTATGTGTTTATCTCTAATGTTTTCTTAGTGAAACTCTCACCCAACTTTGTCATATTCACATAATCAACATGTCAGCGACTTTTTGGGAAATCCGCTTATTCGCTTTCTTGCTGAGCGTTAGATAAGAAGATTATACCGCTCTCAAATCTGTCCATTAAATACAAACCGGAGCTAGAGAGCTCAGTTTAGGACAGTGGTTCTCAAACTTTTTCTGGCACACCCCCCTTCAGAAACCCAGAAAGTTCAACCCCCAACCACCACAACTTTTATGAGTCATTCATATATCACCAATGGCAGGAAGGAAGTAATAAATAAGGATACAAGTTTAACTTTAGCGGAATAAAAGTCGGCATGATACTATCAGTAATGTCTTGTTTGTTTATTTCCCCTGGATAAATCATATTTGTTCAACTTAGTTCAACTCTTTGTGCTAAGCTAAGCTAACTGTCTCCTCGCTGTATGCTTACATTTGATTTTACAGACATGGAGTCGTGTCAATCTGCTCATATAGGTTCATTCTTGGCAAGTAAATAAGCGTTATTTCCCGAAACTGCAAACTATTCCTTTAACATTGGTTGCAAATAAACCAGTTCAATACATTTTCATTTGGTGCATTCAGTGCATGAGTTGAATTTTAAGTGTAACCCACTGGGGTGTTTGTTTGTTTTGTTTGTTTTTAAATTCCCATTGTTTAATGATGTTGCAAGTATAACAATTTAAGAAGAGATTTGTACATCGATCATTTCAGCTAAGCCTTGTCTGTCTGCCTGTCAACTCTAAATTTCAGAGAACGGGAGGAAGGAACTTCGATTCTCCAAGGGACAGGGAGCTAATCAGCCAAACTGGTAAAAACAAACAAAAAAAACTATTTGTATTTTTTCTGTTGAACAATAAAATAACCTGAGCTTCACTTCTGGCCGATTGATATAGTAACATTCATGCCCCCCACCCCCCGCCCAGGATGAAATGTAACAACACTGGGGATGTATCGCCATCCTCAGTCCACAAAACTCATGACATTCCCATCAGCTTACTCCTGGTTTGTGCCAAACTAGCAAATGTTAGCATGCTGACAGAACGATACACAGGCTGAGCTGTTATAGCAATGTCATTGTGAGCACGTTAGCATGCCGACGTTAGCATTTAGTTCAAAACACGATTAACCTAAAGGTCTTAGTTGTTAAGCCTTTTAACAAATATTAAATAGTAATTATTAGCGTCTGTTAGCATCTGACACCACCCATGGGGTTTTGACAGTGTGCCAGTGTTACTAATGGGAGCTGTTATACATCAAACGGTCCAAATACATGTACACCAATAACAGTACAGCTTTTTCTTTTGGTTTTACATTTCCCCCCAAATTACAGCAACATTACAATAACACAAAGTCTGCTAGTTTTATGGTGTTTGTTTCGCTTTGAAAATCTTGAATTGTGCTGGTAATACATGTTTACATTGCTGTTCTAGACTGTGGACCATCAGGAGTACCAAATGGACAATGGATGAAAATACCTAGACCTGGTAACTAAAACTATATATAACAACCATGTGCCAAAACAATGATCAAGCACTTGCGTATATTTAGTTCTACTGCATGTACAATGTATTTTTTTTAAAGGAATTGTTATATATAGGTATATATTTTTAAGTAGTGCAGTGAAATATTTGAGGGAGCTAAAACTTTATATTCACCCACTGATGGTCTGTAGTACATATCTATAACCCTACATTAGTCTGGTCACCTAGTCGACTTGAATATTAAACAGTCCAAACACATGAGGAAATTTGTGCACACATTGTTTTGTCTTTGTGATTCAAGGTTATAATGCGGGTGCTGAAGCATCCACTGGCACAAACACTAAAGGTACTTGATCATCAGTGACCCAGTTTATGGCACACATTGTACTGTAAAAATACATATATTATATACTCATTGTATTTATTTATGATTCTTTAATTTGTTTTGAGGTTATGGAGCAGGAGCTGGTGCTCCGAACGCATACGGTGCTAAATCCAACGGTAAATTTACTTTATTCTTCATTCTCAATATTCATGTGTATGAAATGTTCACAGTGGAGCATTTTGCTGATGATAACTGCAGCGTACTGTAGATTTGTGTAGGCCTGATATTAGTGATACTGTGTCATTGTTTAGGATACGGTGCCAGTACAGGGGCATATGCAAATGGAGAAGGATCTAAAGCAAACAAACCAGGTAAGGAGCCTGGAACTTCCCACCATATTTATACGCGTTTGCTTTTCCATGGTATAAAGCTGAGTGTAAAGACCTTAGCAAATTACGTCTTGTTCAACCAAAGGTTATGGAGCAGGAAGCTTCGCTGTCCCTGGACTCAGCAATGGATATGGAGCTGGTAATATTGACTGTCAATATAAACATGTTTCTGATATGGTTGAAGTTTTCTCTTTCACTTCAAACTTCATTAATAAGTACCTTACATTGTACATATGTGTGCAGGACTGGGATATCCTTATGCAGGGAAACCGCAGCAACCCGGTGAGACCTCATAGGTCATAGAAATAATTACAATCTAATGTGTGGAATGTGTTTTAATAATTGCTCTGTATGCTGTCAGGTTACGGACAAGGAGCGTACCTTGGAGCTGGATATGGAAATTCATACGGAGGTGCATTGTCTTTGAATTATGCTTGTGAGCTGATGATATGTTAGGCCTACATTAGCTTTATGAACTGTATTTGGACTCCCAAAAGCCCCAAAATCTTTATTGCTATAGTATAAACAGAGTTTTAATTAAATTGTCATTTTTTCTCAGGAAATACAGGTCTGGGTGAAGCAAGCAAGTCCAAATCAGGTAGGCTTTACACTCATTTTGTTAAAGTACTGAAAAAATTACACACTGTGTAAATGAACTGGTAGGTGAGATAATCCCATAGTTGCTACTTTGTTATTGCAGTCTAAATTCAGAGCACTGAGGTAGTTTATAATGTCTGTTTTGCAGGGAATGGAAATGGCAATGGCTATAGGACTGGGGTACAGCCTGACTATGCAAGTAAGAATACATTTAGTTAAAATTGCAACAATTTTTATTTTGTGAGAATTACAGTAAATGTCAACATTTCCTCTTTTCATTTTCCAGGTCTTGGCCAAGGGGTACCCGCTGCGAATGGCAAATCAGGTATAATATGGGCGGCAACTGAGTATACAATTTGAGATAAATATAACAAAAGGGGTAAAGTAACTTAGATCAACATGGATAGTGAGTGAAAATAATCCAATTTACTGCTGATTCTGCAGGTGGCGCCAGACAGGTTCCTTATAATGGAGCCCCAGTGGTTCCTGCTGGAATAGATGGTAAGACCAAGCACGTATAACAAGATTTTAAGATTTTAATCATCGATATTGACAGAAGAGTGAAAAAAGAACAAAATAAAAACAAATATAAGAGTGTCTGAAATCCAAAAGGCTGATATGCAGCACAGTGTTGTTCCTCAGGAAACACTGAATCATGTCTGTTTGGGCACATAAAGCATCAGTGGAAGTTTTTTTTCCACTCTTTAAAACTAAGGAGCTGTCTAACTCACAGCATTTGTTGTACCATACTGTCTCAGTATCTCGGGTCCAATTTGCAGGTCTATCAGTGTGTTTGCATTCACTTCAGTATTCTGATTATTTCCTGCTTTCTGCAGTAAGGTCATTTCAGAAACAGGTCGAATAATATGTGCATGTTAGCAGCATATTCATCTCAAGGTGTAAAAGTCAATAGATATGATACACAAACATTTCCTGTGTACTCGCGCAGGTGTGAGTCAGTTTGAGCCTCAGTCCGCTGGCCTTGGTCCAAATGGAAAATTGGGCAGCATGTATGGTGGTATGTATAACTATATTGCTGTCAAATCTTTATTAACACATAAAGTCAGTGAGGAAAACACCAATATGACAATATCAATATCACGTCAAAAAGAAATACTGAACGTATTAACATAAACATTTATTGCACCAGAACAAAAACTTTTTCCGATGTTACAGGAATGGGTGGGTTGCCTTTTGGTGGTCAGCCCCTGGGAATGGATGCAGAGAAATCAAACGCCAAGTACGGTGAGTGCTCATGGGTTGTATTTTATCACTCCACTATAATGTAGCTTGGACAGGAAAAGGGAGTTTTATTTATGGAAGAACTCCGATATAAATCTTCTTATAGTAAGTTTATTTCTCATTGTTCATGTGCCAATTATTCTGTGCTCACTGATGTAGGCATTGGTGGGCTGCAGTTTGGTGGACAACCCCTCAACACAGGGACTACTGGCACAGGCCATTATGGTATTTCTATGTTATGTTATTATTTAATTCTTTCCTTTTTGTTTGGTTATGCAAACACTGTGTGTAGGTCTTGATCAATACTGCCAGGATATATTTCTATAATCCTAATTCCTCAGGGTATGTTGATTGAATATATATATATCAAAGTGTGTTATAGCCCACTAAGGATCAATATAGGCGTGAATGGTCAGTCCATGTGTATCACAACTGTTTGTCTCTCTTCTGTCCAGGATATGGTGGAAGCCCCTATGGGCCTGCTTCTGGCAAATCGTCTGGAAAATATGGTGAGTCATTTGTCTTGAGCAATCAAACACCACCATGAGTACCTCCATACACAGAGCTGCAAAGGTTTTGTGTCTTGAGATATTAATGATATTAATTTAAAATATTTGCAGGTGGTCTTGGTGCTGGTATGGGAGGGGATCCTGCAACTGGAAAATATGGTCAGTGTGGCTACAGAGAGCATTCTAGAAATACAGACACTGATATGCTGATAAAATTAAATCCAAAATCTACACTTGACTTTGAAAAGGCTTCATATGAGAGTCCATTTTGAGAGGCCATGTGATCATTTTATACTCTTTTCCTTTGATCTCTGCTCAGGATACGGTGGGTTCCCCAACGGTGGGCAGCTTCTTGGTCTTGGCAGTAATGGAAATACAGCCGGCAAATATGGTGAATAATTAGCTTGTTCTGAATCTCAGTCAAAGTTCCCCCCATAATCTTTTATTATTTCTCTTCTTCCTCTGTTTCTCCCCCTGTTCTTTAGGTTATGGAAGAATGCCTTATGAAGCTCAACCAGCTGCTCTGGGCCCTGAAGCCAAATCTACTGGAAATTATGGTAAAAGAAAATACAATACAATAAAAAAAGACAAACATACCAGTTTATGCAGCATTTGTTATTTTACCTTTTGTTTAATTAATTTAATAATACATTTTCTTCCAGGTCAGGCTGGGTCACCGTATCAGCCTGAAACTCTTGGCCTTGGACAGAATGGAAAATTAACAGGCAAATACGGTGAGATGCAGCAAACATGACCGCTACCTTCGAATAGTCGTTTGTTTATTTTTTTGGTTTAACTTGTCGTCTTTGTGTGGTTGCCAACTGCTAAGGTGGCGCTGAAGTTCCTTATGCACCACAAACTCTTGGTTTTGGAAGTGAAGCAAAATCTTTGGGAAAATATGGTATGGTGCATCCTTTTATGTGTTCTTCTCGTATCAATCATTCTGCCCCATTTTTTACATTTACTAAATGGTTTCACGTCACTCTCTCTACAGAGAACCAGGGACCATACCAGTCGCAGCCCCTTGAATCTCAATCTGAAGGCAGATCTGGTGGAGAATATGGTATTTTGTCAATATTGCAACTAATTGCCTGATCAGTTGGTTTAGACGTGTACAAAAACATTGCATTTATCTCTTAAACAGATACAGCTGGCTTACCTTATGAGCCCCTGCCTCTTGAGCCAGATTCAGCCGGAGAAGGTGCGTCAGGGAAAAAGATTCACAGCACAAATATACCGTAGAGCCCATTCTCTTCTTCTTACATGTTTTTTTTCCCTCCTGATATTAGTGAAGGAAGAGGCACAGACTCCAACAGTCGAAGGCGACGGGGCGGCCATTGATAGATATGGTAAGTATAGTGTGTATTTCTGCATGGTTGTCTCCTGTAGCTCCACTGCATTCAGGTAATGTTTCACTGTTTGTCACTTTCAGAAAATGTGGGCTATATAAATGGACAAGTGCAGCCAGAAGGTAAAACTAAGAGCACTTTCATCCTAAAATTTTAATTGCAAACATTACATAGGCAATAACTTAATTTACCTATTTTTCCCCTCTATCCTGTCCTCCATAGTTGTTTCATTTCCTGCAGCTCCCACTCCCAGCCCCGCCCTAGCCTACCCCTCTGACCCATCCTATCTTCCTGTGGAGTCCTCCTTCACACCTGATGTGCTGCCTGGAGCAGGTGTTGAGGACCTGCCGGGCGCTGCAGGCCTCGCCCTTGACTCTGCACCTGCTACAGAAACACAGGGCGTGGCTCAGGTGCCTGAGCAACCTGATGACCTGCTTCAACATCAGCTTCCACGTCAGATACACATTCAGCAGCATCTCAAACTGCATTTTCACCAACAAGGCAAGTCCTGGAAAGGTTAAAGTATTGAAATTATCTAAACTCCAACAAATTGTTACTGTCTTTCAATAAAAAAACACAGCCAATAAGAATTGTTCCTAAAATATTTTTAAATGTGGCTCATTGATTATTGAAATGTGAAAAAGTTGGTAATTTGCAATTATTAATAATTATGAACACTGGCTGGGATTCCTTCACATTGAACTCTGCACAAAAGCACATACTTGTAATTTCTCAATATGTCAAACTATTCTTTTAAGTTCACCATGCCAAATATAAAATCCGGTGCTGTATGTGCTTTGACATAATATGTAATCAGTGTGAGTAACATTCTGAGATATGAAAGTGAAGACTTTTGTGTAACTGTTTGCATTGTTTCTTTCCCTTGTCTTCAGGAGCAAAGAATGGCAAATATGATTTGAATGGCTTCTTTGGGAATAGTGGCTATCAAGGTGAGAACAGACTGACTCAAACTAGATGGTGATTATTTTTAGTTTGCTGTGTTTTTCTCAACCATCCCACTCATCTTTGTACTGCTTCCTTTTCTCCACACAGGTTAATCCTGCTGACAACGACAAGTATAACCTCTTTTTTTGCCGTTGTATATTATTTTTATTTTTGATTGTTTCCTAATTGTATATTATTTTTTATTTTTACTTCTGTCTGTCGAATAGTTCTGGTATTTTTGTGTTTGTTTTTAAGTGTAGAGATAGAAACAAAATGTAAACATTTTGAGTTGTTAGGTTTCCTGTTTATGTATGTTTTAATGCGTCCTGCATTACCTTTTTTGTCCTGCACTTACTGTTCATTGAACATGCAAGGAAGAAGAAATAGTTTGTCTGCTGCATATGATCAGTGTTTTGTTTAAATCAATCAGTTTTGCTTGATATTAACAACTTAAAATAATCCTGTAAAACGTAAATCAGTCTAATTTATTTTGCATGGGAAAGGGTTTTTTTTACTACTTGTGGCAAAGCATCTGTTTATGATTGTACAGTATTGGATTGAATAAAACATCAATGAATACAAACAGTGGAAAATGTGGCTTCACCTGTTTATATGTGTGTTTCTGTATTAGTATGTTACATAATAGGCAAAGCCCTTTAATGTATTTAAAAGTGCACGATAAGGAATTACCAGTGCCAGTGAATGTGTGTCATTCAAAAAAAAATCACCTCTTAAAGTGTTCTAATCCCCAGATCATCCAGTCTGCAGCATAGTTGCATACCAGCATGGGGTGGAACATGTGCACCTTTTATAATAAGGGAAATACAGAATATACCTGTTCACTATGAAGTTGAGGTGTGACTCAGTTATGAGCCATGACAACGAGCAGCTGCCGTAGTGCACATGGCTTTTTGTGAGGATTACTCCAGCTTAGGGATAAGAACTCTTTGCTGATTGGTCCTACTGAAAGCATGCCACTTTGCCAGCTCAGGTTGCTTGCTTGGAATTACACCTGTCCAATGATGGATTCAAGTACCAGAATTTCCGGCTAGTTGTGGTCATGATCGTGCCTGAGTGTAGTGAGTGTGGCCTCGTTTAGGATGTAAATGGTGAGGAACCTGAACTGTCAACTAAATGTGAGGGCATTGGCTGTGGGAAGTCATGATGGTGCTTTACAAAGGGCCGCGGCTGTTGGACTTTGCAAAGACCCCTACACACCTTCAGTTCAACAAATATGTCCTGACAGGTTACCGGCCAGTGTCCACGGCTCAAGAGTGCCTCAGGAGCATTTTCTACATGCACAATGAGCTGGGGAACATTTACACACATGGTAAGTCCAGAAATTAACTGTGCATTGCCTTTCTGTTATTCTTTCTTTACGAATCCACTCAATGAAGTCTGAGCTAAATGTAAAAAAGTGTTTTTACTGCATCTTAATTATCTGATTAAAATATGTCTTTATGTTTCTCACCTTGTATCCATTCAACCCATACGGGGGGTGTACAAACAAAACAGATCACAGATGTCCACTACTCTCACTTATGGCCAGTCACAAGCATACTTGAGTGTGGTAATGAGGACATGGGGTATTAACTGTAATCTGCCCTGGGAATCCCTAACCTGGAAATATCGAACTCTTAACATGGTCTTTAAAGGTGTCACTTCTCAGCTCTAATTGCCCTTGTGTGTTATTGGACAAGCCTCCTAGAGATGCACATCTGCATAGACTGAGAGCAGTCGCAGAATTCTGAACATACGTGAACATATTTTGTGCTTTTTATGTAAAACTAACTAAAAACTAAAAACACATGCAAGCTTCACTTAAGTAAATATGGAAACTGAACTTTGCACAAGCTAAAACACACACACACACAGCCGTGAACTTCTGAAGGCATCGTCTTCATGGCCCATTTTCTTGGCTATCCCATAAGATCATTAAGACTAACACTCTTACTAAGGGGAAGTGAAGGGTATTAGCTTTAGGGTGTTGCTCAGGTTTCTCTGCACATGTAGCCAACATTTACTGGCACATTCACATTGTTCACACTACAGGAACAAACTGGGGAACTACTCTCAGACTATTAAATTCCTCATTTTGCTCTACATTGCACCTGATCACTATAAAAACAAATGTTATTAACCTACTTCTGTAGGTATCAACCCTATACACCTTAATACCTTTGCTCATACTGACAAATTAATTGTCTAATTGTCTCAATAAAATACTAACTGGTACTGATTTATAATTACAAGCTTTCTAAATGACACATCACTGTGTAGGTTTCAAACATTCATTTTCTTTTCTTGCTTGATCTAATTTCTCCTCTATCCTTTCCCCCCTTTCAACTCCTAATCTTCCGGTCACCTCAGGCATCCCTTTTTTCCTTTTCTTGGTGCTGCTGCCTTTTAGTATCCCCTGGATGGAGGTGGACAGCCTCTGGATCTGTGCGGTCCACTACCTGGCTTGCCTCTGTCCCACTGTGGGCTCAGTGGTCTACCATGTGTTCATGAACCATGTGGGAGGAGAACATGTGTATGACACCCTGCTCTCCCTGGACATGTTCGGTGTCTGCCTAGTTAACACGCTGGGTAGGTCGTTGATGCTAACTGGCTCTGCTGTCCTCTATCTGAATTAATTGTCTAAAGTTCTAATCATAATTAATCAGAGATGTTCTGATTAATTATCTTAACAAATTAATCTTCACTTTTTCAGGAGTTTGGAGTTGGCTCCATTGTCGTTACATAGTAAAAAAAAAAAAAAAAGGTTAAAGCTTAAAAAGTAACTAGGAAGTTGACCTTGAGTTAAGATTATGTCAGAATACATTTTTTAGGGTCAAGAATGAACTTTCACACTCCTGTTTTTTCCTATGACTTAATAATTACAAATAGCCTATTTATTGTCTCTAACGTGCTGACAATTTAAACAATAAGAAATTTGAACATTTTCCTTTCACAACTGTCTTAAAGAAACAGTTTGACATTTTGGGAAATATTCCTATTTGCTTTCTTGCCTAGAGTGAGACGAGTAGATCAACACCATTCTCATATTTATCTGTCCAGTATGGAGCTGGAGTCAGCAACTGCTTATCTTAGCTTAGCTTAGCGTAAAGACTGGAAATGGGGGGAAACAGCTAGCCTGGCTCTGTCCACAGGTAATCCACCTACCAGCATCTCTGAAGCTCACTAATTAACATGCTATATCTTGTTTGTTCAATCCATTAAAAAGAGAAGAGTAAAAATAACAAATTGTGGTTTTACTGGGGGTTATGGGACTATTTGTTGGCCGGGAGTAGTGACTTCCAGAAGTCACCACCATTGACAAGCAACCAGTGGAGAAAATCACTGCTTTCAGCCAAGAAATACTCCAGCTTTTGTTGATTTTGGGGGACAGGGCCAGGCTGGCTGTTTCCCCATTTCCAGTCTTTATGCTAAGTAAGCCAAGTGGCTGTAGCCTTATATTTGACCAGTGTTATTGTTCTAAGATCTAACTAATGACTTGAATATTTTTGCCTTCAGTTCTTTAGGGAGTCAAGTAAAGCCTGAACCCCTGACTCTACACCTAAAAATAGCCCTGACAACAACCAAGACAATAACATCTTAGTTTTACAGACATTGCCGTTTATTCACCGTGATCTTTCCTCTTGTCACCAGGGGCCCTTCCCATCATCCACATCACCCTTCTTTGCTACCCAGTCATTCGACAGGCTGCCTTGCTGGCCTACATCCTCCTGTCAGCCTACGGTATCTACTGTGCCACCACAGCGCGTACTAACATCCTGCGCCTGCGAGCATTTATCTGGCAAGGCCTGTTCCGCTTCAGCCTCTTCCTGTTCCGAGTGTACGGCAGCGGGGTGGGCAGCCCAAACTCCCTGCGCCTCTTTGTCATCATGGATTCTCTGGCTGTACTGGGAGGGCTGGTCAACGTCATCCAGATCCCTGAGCGCTTCAGCCCAGGCCTGTTTGACAACTGGGGCAACAGCCACCAGATAATGCATGTCATGGTTATTTGCTCAATTATCTACCTGCATTGGGGCACACTGGAGGATTTAGCCTGGATTAAGACCTACCAGTGTCCTACTGAGTGATGCAAAGTGTGTCCAGTACACACATGAATACACTCACGGCTACGCTGATTGCCGATAGAAATGAGATTTAGGAGGAGGCAGGAAGAGTTAAGCATAAAGAGAAGAACATATTTCAAAATGCACTTTAGTTCTAGCTGCTGAAATTCTTTGCAAGGGAAGTTTACAATTTGACATTTTGCCAGAGCAGAATAAGAGGAACTTACAGTGTTGTAACTGTGGAACTTAGATATCGCTATATTAAATTAAAAATCCTGAGCATACTTGATTTTTAGTTTGTTGAAATGCAGTAGTTTTGGGTCCTATTACCCATAACCAAAATAGGTTTTAAAATGGAAAAAGAAAACTATTGTATGTAATAAATTATATATTTTTATATCTTGCTTCAACTTGTTTCATTCATGCGTGATGAGAACGGTTCCTGTGACAAAGTGAAATAATGCAAGGAGTTGAATGCTTCTGTTGTTTAATTGCAAGAGATATACTGTATATACACTACAAAGAAAAATCACAGTTTTCTTATATTGCTAAATGTCAGAATTTAAACTGTTTTCATTTGGACTTGGCAACAAATGTTACATTCCTTTTCATTGGCATTCTTATGAAGTTATAGCTGCTTTCTGGCATTTACCAAACCCACACCTTTCAAAGACCCTCAAACCAAAAGCATCAAAGCTCCAAAAAACTGCATTAAATTACTTGATAATGATTGCCCCTTAAAGAAAATGGGTGTGTAGATCAGACTGGAAAGAGGTGTGGATGTTGCAGAGGTGGAATACATAGCCCATAACACAGCAGCTTTATTGTTTTATAACACGAGTCAATGCATTCTTGTGTTATCTGCAACACTGGACAAGCTTCCTCTCCTTTTTTCCCCAATAAGAGCCATCTGGTCCATTTCTGTGCATCAGTCGTCGTCTGAGCTGCTGTCGTCCTCTGGCTCTGATAGGTCGGCAATGGGAAACCGCAAGATGGCAGCCACTCCGCTCAGCTGAGTCAGTTCTGAGGAGACAGTCGAGGATAAATCAGATGGTGGCAATACACAGCCAGTACTTCAGGCTGATTTTATGTCCCAATCGTGTAGTTGAGGAAGTGTATCTGTCTATTGTTGTTGTCTTAAACCGAGTTATAAATAAAGTTAATTAATCAATGTGTACTGAAATGACACCAGTAAATCCGTCCCAATCAGTGCAGAGTGGAGCTGGTGGTATGTTGGCGTGGTATTACTCATACTGTAATAAACCAAACAGAGCTGCACTCAATAAAAAGGTACCCGGTGGAGTTTTTAACAACTAGTAGCGCCATGGAGCAAGAATGGATCCCTGTTTCAATTGTGTCGCCCAATTTTTTTTCAAATAAATACTACAGATATATGTATATAAAAATCTTCCATGTGTATTTCTAATGTAAAATTAATACAATTCGAATGGTTTTATAACTTACGTTCACCAGACACATGAAGGCTTGAGAATATTCTGCATGAAAGAAAGAGACAAAACTCCTCAGCTAGATGCTTGGCAAAGGATATTCTGAGAAGTTTTAGTGAATGTTGACACGGTCAGTCTTTTAAAGGATCATTTGTACCTGACGTTGCCGCCGTTGTCTCTCACGTTGTCCACCAACCGAACGTAACGACTCCTCGTGGGGACATCCTGATGTCTAGACATGCACATGAAGACACATTAAACATGCTGATGACACACAGAGCAGACGTGATTGTCCCTGTCAGTTTATATCACTAACAATCCCTCGTCTGACTGCATAAGTTTTTGATTGTATACAATTTAGACAATCCGGGAGAAAACTGCTGAAAATGTTGGTAAATTTCAGCATCAAACACTTTCCAACAACACAACCCACAGTATGTATCTGAAACAGATAACGTAAACATGAATATCTCTCAGTATATACCTGAACAACTTATCGCTTATTAACAGGGTGTCGATGGCGAGGGCTTCAGCAGCTTTCTCCACATGAGCCAGTCTGTGAGAATACAGATACAAAGGTTGATGATTATCAGTGTGGATGAATGAGGACTCTTGCAGGCCTGTTGGCTGGTCTGGTCCATCATCACTCACCCGTAGAAGGCTCGGTCAGGCTCATGCTGGAGCATCTTATAGAAATCTTCCAGGGCTTTCACCTCTCCTGCTGCCTAAAAAGGTAAATATAAATACCAGATGATCACTTTTTTCAGCTTGAGAGCATTAGTTTATAGGTTGGTGAATAAAACCAGGTGACAAATCACAGGACGCATAGTCACCTTGGTGTCAGAAAGCCTGTTTGTCACAGTGGGATCAGAAAGGATTTCTGAAAAACAACAAGCATTACACTGAGTTTTCACCCTGTGATGAGATTCGACTGTTTTATTCTCAGAGCCCATCAGTTCCTACCTTTGAGTGAGTACTTGTGACCTGATGAGGAATGGACCAGCATGAATTTGGGTCGATTCTCCAGCAGGATCTTGTTGTCATGTCGCACCGCCTCTCTAAAGAGGTAGGTGATAAACTGGTCCTTCACAAACCCTGGACTGGCAACCAGGATGCACTTCACCACTAGTAGAAGGGAAGTAAGAGAAATGAAAATCTAAACTTAATTTAATTTCACAGAAACGAAGTAAATTATAAGTAAAACAAGCGAAGGCAATAAACCATAATGGTTCCACAGAAATTACATTTGGTGCAGTATATGAGAGGCTCACAGAGGAACAACAAATTAAAAAGGCAGAAGCATGTGACAAAAACAGGAACATGCTGTATGTGTGTGTGTGTCAGTGTACACAGCATAACTACCGTCAAAATTAATGTGTCGAAGAATCGCCTGCATCACGGCCTCATAGAACCTCTCCAGCGCCTGCAAACAGAGAGACAGATCGTTTGACATCAGAAAACAAATACACCGGGCCTCAATACTACACATTTAAAAGCATTAAGTATTTATAAACCTATATATCTGCCAACCCTTGTTCTATTCATAGTGCTTCTTATCGTCACCCGGGGGAGGTTTCTCATAAGCAGAGGTTGCCGGGACAACACACTACCCATCAGTCTATCCACCATCTAAGTTCTGAGCTCATCGCGGCGGCGCAGTGACAGAAAGATGACCTACCTTCTCGTGCTGAGTGCAGCTTCCCCTTCTTTTGCGAGGGATGGTGACCTCAACTTTCGCACGGAGCAGAGTCATGGCGGGGGTCACCAGCACCAGGTTGGCCAGACCCTCCTGCATTACCACAGCTGCCACGTCTGCCTTCTGGGTTGCGTCACATGCCTGCTCTGAAGGTTAGACAAGGCAACGTTAAATGGATCATCTGAGGTAGTGGATATTTTGTTAGTTATCAACAAATATGTTATTAAAGTTACGCTATAGATTATTGTATTTTTCTAAAGGAACTAGAACTTAAACATACAACAAGGAGCTTTTAACTGGTTGTGAAACAGTCTCAATTTACTACTGATTCCTCTATATGACCTACATAAACACACAAGACCATCGGCGAGAAGCTACTGCCTGCTACTGGGTCGGATTCTCCTTGAAATCAAAGAAACGAGGCGGTAGAAACACTCCTGCTTTTGTCCACTGGGACCAGCAGAATAAATGCTGATGCTGATTTAATGCCTGTAGTCGAACTGAGTTATTGATGAGATTAAAAAAATGTGCTACTTAAATTTAAGTTACTGTGGTGAAAATTACAGCAGCAATGACTCAAATACATAAACCCTGTCTGTCAACCCTATTCTGTTCCCACGGCAACACTCGTTAGTAATGTAAATTAGGAGGACTGTGCATTTTCTGCTAAAGTGTCACCCTGTTAGCCAGGCAATGCAGCCATAAAGCAAAAAAAAAAAAAAACAACAACACAGCTTTAAACCTTTAACATGATTTTAACATCTGTAAGAAATTTTTACTCCCTGTGTTCTTCACAATTTCAATTATTTGACAAAAAGAGGCAAAGTTTTGTGTTTTAACAGAGTGAAAACATGTGAAAGTTGTGAAACAACATTAAAACAAGCACTAATATGGAATACTTTATTTGAAATCTAGAGTGCTTGTTTCCATGGTTTGGTTCATTTAGTCAGTAGATAAAAATGCTATTAACACTTGGGTGCTCATCAAATAACTGCTTTCAAGGCTGCTGGCATTCTGTGAGTGTGAGCGAATCTGAATCAAACACAAGAAATTACCCTAACATGCAGTTTTATGGCTGTAAGGAAACAGATGCAGAGATTCTGGCAGCTGAGTGTGCCGTTGCTAAAACCTAGGAAATTCTGTCTGGTAAACAACATACTCGAGTCAATTTGATTACTGTTTACAAGTCCTGGTTGACGTGCAAGTGGGAAATGTGAGCTTAAACGGGCCCAACAAACAAGGATGAGACAAATTGTGATCTCAGTCAAATGTAAACAGTAGCACCTGCTTACCGATTCTATCCAGCACAACGCTGTCCCAGCTCTTCTTAGCCAAAGTGAACTTCCTGTTGAGCTCAAGCTCAATAGTGTGATAAGCCCCCATCTGATGAGTGAAGAACAGAGCACAATCAACTACTTATATCAAACAGGAGTTAATATGAAGACAAACTGCATAGTATGACAGGGTAATGACAAAAAAACTGCACAAGAGAGAGCCTTCAGATCTTTGTGCAGGAAAAATAATAAGTTACACTGCTGTTATTCTTTAACATATGATTCTTTTATGTCTATGTTAACTACACATGAAGTATATAGTCAGTATATTATATATACTGTCCACAACAACCACCTCACATAGAAATCCTTTTACAGTTATATACACCAAATGTGCCTTATCTGCAAAACCTAAAAATCATTTGTTTATCAGACACAATCTACATGAGTAATAATCTCCAGTGACTCCTAAAGCCTTCATTTAAATCTAAGCTTTTCTAATTTTATTTCTCTAGTCCCTCTGCACAACTTAGAAAAGTCAATGATCATTAATGTGACATGACAGCAACCATCACGTTCTCAGACCTTGACATACTGGTTCTCCTCTAAGTTAGTGCCCTTTACTCTCAGCTGGCAGGCCTGGGAGTCGAAGTCGATAGTCTCCACACATAAAGTCAGAGTAGTCCGAACTCTGGAGCTGCCCACACTTCCAGTCTGGGACTCTGTCTGCACCTTCCTGTGGGAACAGGGGAAAATGGACTTAATTGGACTAGCTGCGACTCTGATGATAAGTCCTGTGTGTTTTTGAGACTGGACACTGACCTGAGCTTCACTGGGGTATTAAAACATTATGTCTCCATACTTGCATTTGTGTCGGGGCTAGACATAAAGTCTTGAGGGATAATAGTTTAACAACATAGTACCTGTGGCTGTGGGCATTGTGGAAGGAAATATGTAATTATGTTCTCAAAAAAATGTACATTGTTACTGTGCGTTAACATCCTCTTCACAGAGATTGCACAAATGAATGTGCAATAAACTAAACACGAATCACAATGTTTATGATTCAAACACAACTATGATGAACAAAATAGTATTTTATGTTTGAGAGGATTTATGACAGAGATGGGAATGTGACGTCGTGCATAAACAGAATTCTTGCAATAGCAGAAGTAACGTGATCTGTTGAAACTCTCCATTCAGATCTGTCATGTTACCACAGAGTCAACCTGTGTAGCTTTCGCTGATTATGTTAAGTGTTTATCAAATCTAATCAGAGGTTGTAATGGTAGATGGAAGCTGAACCTTGAGTAGCTTTACCTTGATAGTATGCAAACGTATACAGTGACAGAGTGGCAGATTTGAATCTTTATCAGCTCACGGAATAAAGACATACTGACAAATGTGTCAAAACTGTCAGATACCTGGGCCTGCACTACTGGGCTCCAGCTGCCGCCTTTATGTGATACATGTTAGTAGTTACCTGATGGTGGAGGCTCTCAGGCTGTCCCCCACTTGCAGCAGGTTGTAGGTGTGCCACATATCCTCTGCCTCCTCTGGCATCAGAGTCACCTGACTGAAAAAAACACATCAATAAGCCAGCTTCTGAATTAGTGTCATTCATGTTAGCGATAAGTTAAATTAAACTGTGGATATGGTTTTAATTTTAAATGTGAGGGGCAGTGACAGAGGAGCACCCATGCTGCTACAGTAATTACTGAGTGTACATCTCCATTGTAACACAGTCTTGGTTTGTTTTGTTTACCAGCTGGGGCGTTGTATGCTCAGTCAATATCCACAGGGTCTGAGTAACACCATCTTTGCTCACACTAGTTATATTTCGTGACCTCTGTGTTATTTCATATTAACTACAAACGGGACCATGTCTGTACTCATCCAAAACCAATCCACGTCTCTCCTGGTACCGGTGCAAATCACAGGTGGACATTAACCACGACTAACCTGACACATGTAACTTTACAGCCAGCTGCGAGATAGCATGCTGGTTAGCTTGCTAACATTAGCAACTCACCCGGCATTATCTTTTTCAATGTCTTTATGGAGCAACTTCATGGTCGGACCGTGGCGTGGTGCAACACAAACAGGAGTATTTATTAGCGTAAACTAACATACGTTAACGTGTATCCGAGCGAGAGTCATGTTTATCTTTGTGAATGAGCAGACTAGCCATCTTCTCCACCACAAAATGAATCACTCGCTGCGTGTTGTCAGGCGCTGGGACATTGCGTCATTCCAAAGTACGTCGTCAATTCTTCCCCATCTTGGTCACTTCCGTGGGTGTCGCTTTACTGCGCAACAAATACACAGCGACACCAACGCGAATGTTTGCGCAAGTGTGAATAAACACGGTTAATCTTGCACCGTGTGACACGATATTTCATGTATCGCCAATAAAACGTGAGATATATCCGAGAATGTTTGCCGTTTTTATACATTGTGGTTTGAGATAAGTAAATGCTGACCGACGTGGGGAACAGCCAATCAGAGGGGAGAATGGATCCCTCAAATACCGCCTACTGGCGAAACTGACCAATGGGAGTGCGAGAATTGGCCTCCCTCTTCCGTTCAACCTCGCTTTGAGCTAACGCTCGTCTAGCCTTTTTTTTTTGTCGATGGCATGGTGCTAGCAACGACGGCAGAAACACCGTTGTCACGAGAAAAACCACGAATACTCAAAGCGAATTCGGACATCTAATGGAAATTAGTTGACTACGGCGGATTTCTGAAGTACATGACAGCCATCACGTCTCTAACAATTCCGCGTCCAGCCTCGCATTTTGAGGTTGCCAGTTCTTCCCCAAGGTTAGCCAGCTAGCGGGCTAACGGTAGCCGATTAACGCTAAACTAGTTGAGCTAACGGTCACTCGGCTGCCAGGCAACAGTAACGACGTCTAGAGCTCGTAGGGATTGTTAGAAACCCGAGAAGAATAGAGGAATAGCATGGCAGAGGCCGACAAGTTGAACATCGACTCCATTATACAACGTCTGCTGGAAGGTAAGGCAGCCTCTCGCTCGATATTTATTCACCGAGGTAGCCATTTTAAGCTAACAGGCTAGACAACGATAGCCACCGATGCTACGTTAGCCTGTTTAAGTTCATCTTTTTTTATTTATTTATTTATTTTTTGCCTCTTTGAAAACGAAACACGCAACGTTTGCGGTGTGAGCGCCGATGGCCGTCGGGTCGTGTTTGCTCCGTAGCTTCTTTTCTCGCAGCAGAGTAAATCTTTTGTTGTTCCCACTCGCCCGCGTTTAATACTTCGCCAGTCAGCGTTTGTGTTTGTGTTTCACGTTACTTTGCGTTGAGAAAATCTCGCCCCATTGTTGGTTAATGTCGACCTGAATTATCACTTTAAAACAAGGATGAGTGAGGCGATGTAACGCTACGTATTTGTTCTTCTCTTTGTCAGTTTTTATTTACTTTTATTGTTGGTTTAATGCCTTTTTTTTTCTTCTTTCCTTTTCTCGATCCTAAAATGGGAACACAGATTAAATGTGTTATCATCAGGTGGCATTGTTTAGCTTCTTCCACAGTGGTCTCTTAGTATTATTGCTTCATATTTACATACAAACGAGTTATGTTTGCAGGGTGGGCTCAGACAACAAACACATCCAAGTAAAAGCCCTCTGGGTGGTTTCAGAAAGTCAGGAGTGCTTCTAGTTTTCACTATTTATCGCGTAGCTCCAGGATTTTCCTCTAAACCACTTTAACCTAGAGCATTGCTCCTTGAGATGTTAAAAAATACCAATAAGTTATTTAAATTAAACAAAAAAACTGCCTTTTTTTTTTTTTTTTGCTCCACATTTCAATTTTAAATTAAACGTTTTATATAATCACGATGACTGATGGAGCAAAGAGTTCCTGGTAATACTAAACAGAGCGTGCACACTGCATATTAACACTGCCAATTGTCTGTGGCAGTCTGCCCCATTTGCTCAAAACGTGAATTATTTTTGAGGGTTTATTTTCCATATTAGGAATAAAATGCAATATGTCACTCCTCTCTTTTGAAAAATGTTTACAAGATGCGTCTTTGCACACTCTTTTGATTGCATACATCTATATAACACATTAGTATAAATAATAAACTCTGCTGTGTTTCTGGTGCACTATTTCCCACTCTCATTGGATTTTTTTTTCCCTCCACAGTGAAAGGCTCCAGACCTGGCAAAAATGTTCAGCTGACAGAGAATGAAATCCGTGGTCTCTGCCTCAAATCCCGGGAGATCTTCCTCAGCCAGCCAATCCTGCTCGAACTTGAGGCGCCCCTCAAGATTTGTGGTGAGGCTTAGTTGTGTTCTTGAGAGTCGAGGGAATTCATAAGTATGGTCGCATAGCATTTCCAAACACTCTGAAGATTGTAGTTGTAGCTTTATAATGCCGTGCCTTAAAGAGGAAGCTTACATTCTTATAACCAGATGTTAATTGATTTTCAAAGGATAGTTGATTTAAAACGCACTTATTTTAAAAAGAAAAACATTTTAAGGACAAAATACAGTGCATGGCAGTGACCTTGTTTTGCACAATTACAGAAATATAGGGATGAACTGATAATATTGGCTTTTCAGTGCTGTTTTGCACTCCAAGTCTCCCTGGAGTTTCCCTCTGGTGTCATGCTGTTGATGCCACTAAAGGGAACAATGGTAGTTTAAAGGAACCGCCTGCACATTTCAGGAAATGGTCGTGTACGAGTTGCAATGAGAATCACCTGTATCCTCACACTAAAGGCACAATCGGTTAGTTGTCTGATCATCGCAAAAAAAAAAAAACAAGTCAAGCAGCACCAGAATAACAGAGTTCATTTAAAATAATGCACGGCCAATCGTTGTTGTTAATTTGCAGGGTGCCAGGTGTTGTTGTACCTCTATCATGTCCCTTACCTTTTGTTGTGCACATACACACACAGCATGATAATCACACTGCTGTTTCCACTCTAACTCTGCTTATCTCACCAGGTGATGTTCACGGGCAGTACTATGATCTGCTGAGGCTGTTTGAATATGGGGGCTTTCCACCAGAGAGCAACTACCTGTTCCTGGGGGACTATGTAGACCGAGGCAAGCAGTCCCTGGAGACCATCTGCCTGTTGCTGGCGTACAAGATTAAATACCCAGAAAACTTCTTTCTGCTGAGAGGAAACCATGAGTGCGCCTCCATTAACAGAATATATGGCTTCTACGATGAGTGTAAGTCACATGGCATGCATGAAGATACAAACATAATTGAATAGTACCACTGCTGTCGGCTAAAGATGGAAGCCCAAGCCAGTACGTTTTCTATGTTCGGATCTTTCAAATGCTAAAACCGGAAAAGATACAAAGTTGCGTAAAGAGTAGACAAATTATCTTGTACGAGAGACGTCTTATCTTCAAGTGTACAGTACATATTGTTAGGAGAATTATTATTCCATTTTGTCTCATAATGATCGTCTTAATTGGTATATTTCACAACATGTGTTTTGGAGTCGAGACATAAACACTGATACAGGCTACACCGGCTGGTAGAAACTAAAAATCCACTTAACATTTCCACTAACGTCCTGTTCTACCATCTACACCTGAAGACAATCAAAGTTATTGTTGAGCAAAGATTTAACCGCATTAGCTAAATATCATCCCTTGTATTTTCACCATCAAAAAAAAAGTGCCTTTCGCTTTGAAAAGTCTAGAAATGTAACTATTTAGCAGACTCAGAAGACCAATGCGAACATTGTTCATACGCTGTGAGTCTGAGTGGGAGCTGTTCTTTTAAGCCTGATGAGGAAACTTGTGCATTAGTTGTAAAGAGGGGGGAAAAAAAAGGCTACAATGCAGATAACCTCTTAGTACACTAGGCTGCGGGCTAAGGGGCATGATCAGGCAGTAGTGATTAATCACATGCCTCTCTGCTATTCAGAGCTAGGATTATGTAAAATGTTGTGTTTCTAACGTGATGCAATAGGTGCAGCTGTTGAGACTTTATTCGTCTCAAGATTAGATTGTGACCAAGGTTTTGTGGTTTCCTCCCACAGGTAAGAGGCGATACAACATAAAGCTGTGGAAGACCTTCACTGACTGCTTCAACTGTTTGCCTGTTGCAGCCATTGTTGACGAGAAGATCTTCTGTTGCCATGGAGGTATCCTCATCAAACAGTTCATTTGGCTCCTATCCAGAGCGCGCGCACACAAACTCTCCTCTGCTCTGTTGTTACTGTCAACATAATGGCCAAAGACCTGCAGGACTGTGTGGGATCTTAATTTCTTGGTGATTTATATATTCTTGCCCTGTTCTGCAATCATGGCTATGAAGTGACTTTAATTTCTTCTAATCCCTCCAACTAACAAGTAGAAAATAGTAACGGTTTGATATACGTACAAGTGCAACATTAACGGATTGTGACTATAGGAAATCATCTGATTTAAAAAAATGTGAAGAACGGATATTGTTGTATATCTTTAGCACCTATTTAAACTAGTTCTGCAGTGCCTGGAATACTAAAGAAATAGACCCGAGGGCTCAGACAATGTGACACCAGCAGCAAGTCACGGCTATCTCTTGTCTGAGAACCTCTATGCAAAATATGTAAACAGGCGCTGACAATCATGAGGGTGAACACCACCTCTCCTCTGAACATAAAAACTGCCGTAAGTTACAGGACACACAGAAAGGATATTGTATGTTTGCTCTCAATCCATCATTTGTGTGTGTGTGTGTGAGTGTGTGTGAGTGTGTGTGAGTGTGTGTGAGAGAGATACAAAGTGTAGCTAGCAGCTCTGAATGCCCAGAGCCTTGAGTTCAGACCACAACTATTCTGGTTGCAAACTCCCATGAATCAGCTGCAGTATGTAATATACTCTCTGCCACAGGCCAAAAGGAAGGGAAACAAAACAGCAAAAAGCTGCCTTGCCTTAGGAAGTAAGGTTGCTAATAAAAGCAGTGGCAAGTGGTTGATTTTATGTGTGTGCTGGTGTGCATGCGTGTGTGGTCCCAGGCTGATTCCAAGGAACAAAAGATGACCATAGCATGAAGAGCTGTAGCATGAAGCAGAGAAGAAATCTAGGACACTTCCCCAAGATCCTCTGGGCCTTTTGTCAATCTTAATCTCATTCAAGACACAGCGGACCAAAGCCTCTTCCTGCCTTTGCATTCATGTGAACATGTGTACGTAAGAGGGGCGAATCTCTCTTAGATTCAGTGTTAATCACTACTCAATGTCTGTAAAAGGATTGGAACAGTACAAATTCAGAGCCATCAGTAGAAACACTAAGTTGATCTGTTGATCACTTGTTTTTAAAAAGGGAGTCCATTTGTTTGCCAGCCTCTCCTGATGTAAAAACCTCTTTAGTTTATCCATTATCTGCTATAAGGCATTGATTCTAGCAGGGCCCACTCTGCGACGTTGTTCTGGTCCGTCCTCCACA